CAAGTAAAGGGCGAGTTCGAAGCAAAAGGAACTAAAATGCAGGAGTACCTTGCTATGGTGCAAACCTTGCTGACTAAGTTCCACCACTTCCAAATCTATCATATCACGAGGGAAGACAATATTGTTGCAAATGCACTAGCCAAGTTTGCCTCATCCTGGGACTTCACACCTGAACCAGCATTCATCGGTCACCAGCTCAAACCAAANGTAGACCTGATACTGATCAACATTGATGGCACTCCACTCAAGTATGCAATAAAGCTTCATTTTACAGCTTCCAACAATGAAGCATAATATGAAGCCCTCCTCTCTGCACCTCATCACTTACGATGACTTTAAGTTAATATTCAATCAAGTAAAGGGCGAGTTCGAAGCAAAAGGAACTAAAATGCAGGAGTACATTGCTATGGTGCAAACCTTGATGACTAAGTTCCACCACTTCCAAATATATCATATCACGAGGGAAGACAATATTGTTGCAAATGCACTAGCCAAGTTTGCATCATCCTGGGACTTCACACCTGAACCAGCATTCATCGGTCACCAGCTCAAACCAAACAGGCTGGACATGAAAGCCACTAACGTTAACTGCACATCTGTTGAGTCAAACTAGATGACCCCAATGAAGGCATACCTTTAGGAGGGGCCGTAGCTACACAAACAGCTGGAAGCCAAGAAGCTCAGGATTAGAACCTCCAAGTTCACCATCCTGGAGGACATCCTATACAAAAAGGGTGACTCCCTACCACCACCACGCTGCCTCTCCCCAGAGAAAGCTAATTATGCCCTACAAGAGATCCATGAAGGAGTTTGTGTAAAACACTCTGTAGGACGCTCCCNGTCGTAGCTACACAAACTGCTGGAAGCCAAGAAGCTCAGGATGAGAACCTCCAAGTTCACCATCCTGGAGGACATCCTATACAAAAAGGGTGACTCCCTACCACCACCACGCCGCCTCTCCCCAGAGAAAGCTAATTATGCCCTACAAGAGATCCATGAAGGAGTTTGTGTAAAACACTCTGTAGGACGCTCCCTAGCCCACAAAAGCACTCAAACAGGGTTATTTCTGGCCTAGTATGGTTAAGGACGCACAAGAGTTCACCAGGACATGCGACAAGTGCCAACGCTTCGCCACTGTACCCAGGCAGCCACCAGAAAAGCTGATAGCCATCACAGTTAGAACAGTACTACATAAATTAAAGACGAGGCTAGAAATAGTAAAGAGCCTCTAGGTGGATGAACTCACGGGTGTATTATGGGCCTACTGAACGATGCCAAGGACCCCAACTAGGGAAACTCCTTTTGATCTCGCCTTTGGAACTGAAGTAGTCATACTTGTAGAAATTGGAGAACATTCTATAAAGGTCCAACATCACAACCCTATCACCAACGAGGAAGGAATCCGTATCAACCTCGACTTGGTGGAAAAGGGAAATGGACATGGTCCGAAATGTAGAGTACAAGCACTGTATGGTGAGCTACTAAAAATTGAGGCTGAAGCCTCATTCCTTCCTACCAGGAAACTTAGTCCTCAAAAAAGTAATCCTCGCCACGAAGGATCAGCGAGAAGGGAAGCTTGGGCCAAATTGGGAAAGACCCTACCTCATAACAGAAATAGTGAGGTCAAATACCTATAAGATCTAGAATACTGAGGAAAAGGTCTTACCTTATCCATGGAATGCTGAACATCTAAAGAGGTACTACCAATGACACTTGAGAATAGCAGAAGCTGGGGTCTTGGTTTTATTTTTTCTTGTACCTTTTGGGTTATTACCCACCATTGCTTAACATGAGCAAGCATCAAATAAAATTTTCTAAATTTAGTTCAAAAAGTTCCTTGCATTTTTGCATTCTATTTCAAGTGAACATCAGTGGTAAAAAGTCACTTTTACAAAAGGAGGCTACACATTGCCTTTGAAAAAAAAAACTCAAACGTCCCCAGAATTCTAACTGCTCTCATGATCGTCGCCATTCTCCTCATCCTCGCCCTCTACGCCATTAGAGTCACCATCATCACCATTAGCATCATCTGGTGCCTCATACGGCACAAAGGCTAAAAAGTAAATATCAGGGAAAGCAATAGAAATCTTTCCCTGAAGCTCCTCTTAGCCATCAATGAAGGCATCTGCAAGGCCACTCTCTAAATTAGCCTCAGCCTTGACAACCCTTTCATGAGCCAATCGTAGATCAGCCTCTGCCCGAGAAACCCTCTCGTGAGCTGCCTTCAACTCTGTCTTCGCTATCAAGCGAACNCAACCCTTTCATGAGCCAATCGTAGATCAGCCTCCGCCCGAGAAACCCTCTCGTGAGCTGCCTTCAACTCTGTCTTCGCTATCAAGCGAACAGCCTCACCATCAGTCTTGAGCTTAGCAGCCCTCTCGTGGGTCACCACAAGCTCCATTTAGGCCCTCATGCAAGAAGTCTCTCTCAGCGGGACCCTCTTGCGGGTCACTACAAGCTCAGCCTAGAAAGCCCTACCATCAGCCTCAAGCTCAGTAATCTTCCCTTGAATAGCAAGAAGCTCTTTTTTCATAGCCTCATGACTCTACTTCAGCTGGCAAAAATATATAGCTCTTGAAAGGAGACACACAGACNCCTCCCTTGAATAGCAAGAAGCTCCTTTTTCATAGCCTCATGACTCTACTTCAACTGGAAAAAATATATAGCTCTTGAAAGGAGATACACAAACGCAGCTGAAACCTGAATAAGACAAAAGAATGTCAGTACCTAAGGAGGAACTAGAGCAAGGTACAAAGCAGACCCTTACCTGAGCCAAACCTTCCAGAATAGTGTCTATGACACCCTCAGTGCCCCAAGCGCCAACCTCACTAATGTTAGCTGAAAACACAAATCTCCTAAGTCGCTCCCTAACGATTTGCACATCACCCAATATGGAGTCATTCTGAGCAGGTGCTCTTATAGAAGTCCCCACAGGAGGAGTCAATGAATGGGGGGCAGGAGGTGTGGCCGATAGGGGAGTCTCTAGAGTGACGATCACCTCTGAAGGAGTCGTTGACTGGGGAGGCACCACTGGAGGGATCATCTAAGAAAGGCTCACCAGAACATCGCTTACCCTTGAAACCTTTGGAGGAGGAGTACTCCTAGTTGAATAAAGGGACTCCACCACTATCCTATCCACTACAAGAGGAATAAAATGTGATCCTGAAGTTAGACTAGGTAAAGAAAGAGAATCCAAGAGAATCAGCATACCTTTCCTCTCTATGGAGGGAACACCAACCCTGGAACCTCCAAGAGGATAGTCTCTAGCTCCACCCTCTTTGAGCATGAGAGCTCCAAAGTCCTTCATAGGGTGAGCCTTTATAGCCTGTAGCTTCCATTCTTGGTCATTTGAGAGCACTGGGGAGCCTATAAGAAATGTGATGAGAACAAGTTCATGAAAAGACAATGGAAAAAGAATAAATGAAGAACATACCTATTCTCTTGGGAGTGTCTCATCTTGCTGGTACCAAAGCTCTATCAGCCTCTAAAGCCTATTCTCCTCTAACAAACATGAAGTGAGTCTTCCAACTATGGCAATCAAAGCGCAATCCAGTAATCAATTTACCTCTCCTCGATGTGAAGTAGTACCAAACACGGTTGGGAGCAGGAGTATCACATAAAGTATAAGTTGCACAAAACTCTTCAGGAGAGGCATCCTCGTGGTGCACTTTTCTCCATAGTGTTAGGGAACCCCAATAAAACTCTCCAATCGTTGGGCGCCAACCACCCTAGCGCAAGCGAAAAACAATGTCGAATGCAACAAATAGAGGAATGCATTGGGAACCTTAGCCCAACCTTAAGTACCTCCTCATAGATAGCAATGTCTCCAGAGGAGTCATAACAAGTAGGCTCACCCATTTCGGCTAGACGACATAGTACCATTGGAAGAATATTATAAGTGGAAACGATCCACAGAATATTAGAGTCAGTATTAAGGGTGCTAGAAATGGTACTCAATTTTGATCTGTCGTCATCAAGAGCCATCTTTCCCCAGTGTTTGCCGTTACGGGGGTGTGAAACATTGACCAGCCCACTACCATGGAGAGCCTTGAGGTATCTGACTCCATGGATTTCCACATGANAAGAGGATAGTCTCTAGCTCCACCCTCTTTGAGCATGAGAGCTCCAAAGTCCTTCATAGGGTGAGCCTTTATAGCCTGTAGCTTCCATTCTTGGTCATTTGAGAGCACTGGGGAGCCTATAAGAAATGTGATGAGAACAAGTTCATGAAAAGACAATGGAAAAAGAATAAATGAAGAACATACCTATTCTCTTGGGAGTGTCTCATCTTGCTGGTACCAAAGCTCTATCAGCCTCTAAAGCCTATTCTCCTCTAACAAACATGAAGTGAGTCTTCCAACTATGGCAATCAAAGCGCAATCCAGTAATCAATTTACCTCTCCTCGATGTGAAGTAGTACCAAACACGGTTGGGAGCAGGAGTATCACATAAAGTATAAGTTGCACAAAACTCTTCAGGAGAGGCATCCTCATGGTGCACTTTTCTCCATAGTGTTAGGGAACCCCAATAAAACTCTCCAATCGTTGGGCGCCAACCACCCTAGCGCAAGCGAAAAACAATGTCGAATGCAACAAATAGAGGAATGCATTGGGAACCTTAGCCCAACCTTAAGTACCTCCTCATAGATAGCAATGTCTCCAGAGGAGTCATAACAAGTAGGCTCACCCATTTCGGCTAGACGACATAGTACCATTGGAAGAATATTATAAGTGGAAACGATCCACAGAATATTAGAGTCAGTATTAAGGGTGCTAGAAATGGTACTCAATTTTGATCTGTCGTCATCAAGAGCCATCTTTCCCCAGTGTTTGCCGTTACGGGGGTGTGAAACATTGCCCAGCCCACTACCATGGAGAGCCTTGAGGTATCTGACTCCATGGATTTCCACATGAACGAACCAAATCATCTGTTATTTGGCCAGAATCATCACCACCGGCATCCTCCACCGTACTCTACTTCCTAGCTCCATGCCCAATCGTCTACGTACCTGCCTGGTCATGCCTAGTAGTTGTCGACGCCTCCTTCGCGCCCATCGACCCTTGCCCAATACCTAGAGGTACGGATTCTGCAATGCTTACTCCCCGATCAGCCTCGCCTAATGGAGCTTCCATCTATTCACCAGCGTACAAAGCTCAGGGCTAGAAAAGCTGGCACTCGGCCTAATCTCAACAGTAAGGCATCTCCAATATTATTTCCAAAGTCACACCGTCGTCATCAGCAAAGACCATCCTCTAAAGAGAGTCCTAAGAAAGCTAGATGTTCTGGAAAACTCCTAAAGTGGGCGGTAGAGCTGGCAAGTTTGATGTGCAGTACCAACTAAGGGTAGCCATCAAAGCACAAACCTTGACAGACTTCGTTGCCAAGCTCACACCAGTTAACGAAGACGTTAACGCAACCTCGGCACCTCATCGAAAGCCCAACCAGGCGCATGAGTGCCTAGACCTGGTGCCCTGTCTGGGCGCCCAGGGCATCCTGGCATGAACAGCAGGCGCCTTGACATCCCTTACGGCCTCCAAGGCCCCCTCTTTCCCACCTCACTGGGAGCTTTACGTGGATGACTTTTCAACCAACGAAGGAGGTGGAGCGGGATACTAATCAACACTAATGGCACTCCACTCAAGTATGCAATACAACTTCATTTTACAGCTTCCAACAATGAAGCAGAATATGAAGCCCTCCTCTCTTGCTTAAGGTTGCCAATTAAAATGGAAGCTCAACACCTCATCACTTACAGTGACTTTCAGTTAATAATTAATCAAGTAAAGGGCGAGTTTGAAGCAAAAGGAACTAAAATGTAGGAGTATCTTGCCATGGTGCAAACCTTGCTGACTAAGTTCCACCACTTCCAAATCCATCATATCACGAGGGAAGACAATATTGCTACAAATGCACTAGTCAAGCTCGCCTCATCCTAGGATTTCCCACCAGAACTAGCATTCATCAGTCACCAGCTTGAACCAAATAGGCTAGACATGAAAGTCACTAACGTCAACTGCACATCTGCCAAGTCAAACTAGATGACCCTAATTAAGGCATACCTTCAGAAAGACGTGTTGCTACACGAACCGCTGGAAGCTAAGAAGCTCAGGATGAGAGTCTCCAAGTTCACCATCTTGGAGGACATCCTATACAAAAAGGGTGACTCCCTACCATTACCATGTTGCCTCTCCCCAGAGGAAGCAAACTACGCCTACAAGAGATCCATGAAGGATTTTGTGTAAAACACTCTGAAGGATGCTCCCTAGCCCACAAAGCACTCAAATAGGGTTATTTATAGCCTAGCATGGTTAAAGACGCACAAGAGTTCACCAGGAAATGCGACAAGTGCCAACGTTTTGCCACTGTACCCAGGCAACCACCAGAAGAGCTAACAACCATCACAAGTCCATGGCCCTTTTCCAAATGGGGCATTGACATCTTCGGCCCCTTGCCTCTGAGTAGGGGGCAGTGCAACTTCATGGTGGTGGCTGCCATCGACTACTTCACGAAGTGGGCGGAGGCCAAGCCCTTAGCAAAGATTGCAGATGCAAAGGTCAAGGACTTTAATTGGAAAAACTTAGTCTGCCGCTTTGGAGTATCCCACGCCATAGTCAGTGACAACGCCAAGCAATTCGACAACAAACTGTTGAACTCGTTCTGCGCCGACCCTCAGATAATGCAGCCTCATTCTAGCCCAACGCACCCGTAGGCAAATGGACAGGCAGAGGTCACAGTCAAAACAATACTACATAAATTAAAGACGAGGCTAGAAAGAGCAAAGGGCCTCTGGGTGGATGAACTCACGGGTGTATTATGGGTCTACCGAACGATGCCAAGGACCCTAACTATGGAAACTCCTTTTTTACTCGCCTTAGCAGTCATACCTGTAGAAATTGGAGAACATTCTCTAAGGGTCCAACATCATGGCCCCATCACGAACGAGGAAGTAATCCGCGTTAACCTCGACTTGGTGGAGGAGGAAAGGTAAATGACCATGGTCCGAAATGCAGAGTACAATCGCCGTATGACGAGATACTACAACTCAAGGCTGAAGTCTCATTCCTTCCTACAAGGAGACTTAGTCCTCAAAAAGTAATCCTCGCCACGAAGAATTCGCGAGAAGGGAAACTTGGACCAAACTGGGAAAGACCCAACCTAATAACAGAAATAATGAGGCCAAACACCTTCAAGATCCAGAATACTAAGGGAAAGGTCTTACCCCATCCATGAAATGCTGAACATCTAAAGAGTTACTACCAATGACACTTGAGAGGGCAGAAGTTGGGGTATTGGTTTTATTTTTTTTCTTGTACCTTTTTGGGTTATTACCCACCATTGCTTAACATGAGCAGTTATCAAATAAAATTTTCTAAATTTAGTTCAAAATTTCCTTGCATTTTTGCATTCTATTTCAAGTGAACATCAACGGTAAAAAGTCACTTTTACAAAAGGAGGCTACACACTGTCTTTCCAAAAAAAAATCAAAAGTCCCCAAAACTTTAACTGTTCTCGTGGTCGTCGTCATCCTCGTCGTCCTCACCCTTTCCGCCGTCAGAGTCATCATTAGCATCATTAGGCGCCTCATACAGCACAAAGCCTAAAAGGTCAATATCAGGAAAAGTAGCAAAAATCTTTTCCCGAAGCTCCTCTTAGCCATCAATGAAGGCATCTGTAAGGCCACTCTCTAAATCAGCCTCAGCCTTGGCGCCCTTTTCATAAGCCAATCGCATATCTGCCTCAGCCCAAGAAACCCTATCGCGAGCTGCCTTCAACTCTATCTCTGCTATCAAACGAGTAGCCTCACCATCAGTCTCGAGCTTAGCGGCCCTCTCACGGGTTGCCACAAGCTCTGCCTCAAGCTTAGCGGCCCTCTTGCGAGTCACCACAAGCTCTGCTTAGGCCCTCATGCAAGCAGCCTCTTTGAACGGGGCCCTCTCGCGGGTCAGTACAAGCTCAACCTAGGAAGCCCTACCATCAGCCTTAAGCTCAGCAATCCTCCAGTGAGAAGCAGAATCTCCTTTTTCACAGTCTCACGACTCTGTTTCAGCTGGCTAAAATGAATAGCTCTTGAAAAGAGACACACAGACACAACTAAAACCTGAAGAAGACAAAAGAATGTTAGTACCTAAGGAGGGACTAGAGCAAGGTAGAAAGTAGACCCTTACCTGAGCCAAACCTTCCAGAATAGTGTCTATGACACCCTCAGTGCCCCGAGCACCAACCTCACTAATGTCCTCTAGAAACACAAACCTCCCAAGTCACTCCCTAACGATTTGCACATCACCCAATATGTAGTCAGTCTGAGCATGTGCTCTTGTAGAATTCCCCATAGGAGGAGTCGATGAATGGGGGGTAGGAGGTGTGGCCGACAGGGGAGTCTCTGGAGTGACGATCCCCTCTAAAGAAGTCGTTGACTTGGGAGGCACCACTGGAGGGGTCGTCTGAGAGAAGCTTTCCTGAGTGTCGCTTACCCTTGCAACCTTTGGAGGATGAGTACTCCTAGTTGAATAAAGGGACTCCACCACCATCCTATCCACTGCAAGAGGAATAAAGTGTTATCCTGAAGTTAGACTAGGTAAAGAAAAAGAATCCAAGAGAATCAGCATACCTTTCCTTTTCAAGGAGGGAACACCAACCCTAGAACCTCCAATAGGAGAGTCTCTAGCTTCACCCTCTTTGAGCATGATAGCTCCAAAGTCCTTTATAGGGTGAGCCTTCATAACCTATAGCTTCCATTCTTGGTCCTTTGAGAGCATAAGAAATGTGATGAGAACAAGTTCATGAAAAGGCAATGGAAAAAGAATAAATAGCGGTCATACCAATTCTCTAGGGAGTGTCTCATCTTGTTAGTACCAAAGCTCTGTNAGTACCTAAGGAGGGACTAGAGCAAGGTAGAAAGTAGACCCTTACCTGAGCCAAACCTTCCAGAATAGTGTCTATGACACCCTCAGTGCCCCGAGCACCAACCTCACTAATGTCCTCTAGAAACACAAACCTCCCAAGTCACTCCCTAACGATTTGCACATCACCCAATATATAGGCAGTCTGAGCATGTGTTCTTGTAGAATTCCCCATAGGAGGAGTCGATGAATGGGGGGTAGGAGGTGTGGCTGACAGGGGAGTCTCTGGAGTAACGATCCCCTCTGAAGAAGTCATTGACTTGGGAGGCACCACTGGAGGGGTCGACTGAGAGAAGCTTTCCTGAGTGTCGCTTACCCTTGCAACCTTTGGAGGATGAGTANATTTCAAGTGAACATCAACGGTAAAAAGTCACTTTTACAAAAGGAGGCTACACACTATCTTTCCAAAAAAAAAAATCAAAAGTCCCTAAAACTTTAACTGTTCTCGTGGTCGTCGTCATCCTCGTCGTCCTCACCCTTTCTGCCGTCAGAGTCATCATTAGCATCATCAGGCGCCTCATACAGNCTAAAACTTTAACTGTTCTCGTGGTCGTCGTCATCCTCGTCGTCCTCACCCTTTCTGCCGTCAGAGTCATCATTAGCATCATCAGGCGCCTCATACAGCACAAAGCCTAAAAGGTCAATATCAGGAAAAGTAGCAAAAATCTTTTCCCGAAGCTCCTCTTAGCCATCAATGAAGGCATCTGTAAGGCCACTCTCTAAATCAGCCTCAGCCTTGGCACCCTTTTCATAAGCCAATCGCAGATTTGCCTCAGCCTAAGAAACCCTATCGCGAGCTGCCTTCAACTCTATCTCTGCTATCAAACGAGTAGCCTCGCCATCAGTCTCGAGCTTAGCGGCCCTCTCACAGGTTGCCACACGCTCTGCCTCAAGCTTAGCGGCCCTCTTGCGGGTCACCACAAGCTCTACTTAGGCCCTCATGCAAGCAGCCTCTTTGAACGGGGCCCTCTTGCGAGTCAGTACAAGCTCAACCTGGGAAGCCCTACCATCAGCCTTAAGCTCAGCAATCCTCCCTTGAGAAGCAGAATCTCCTTTTTCACAGTCTCATGACTCTGTTNAGAGAATCAGCATACCTTTCCTCTCTATGGAGGGAACACCAACCCTGGAACCTCCAGGAGGATAGTCTCTAGCTCCACCCTCTTTGAGCATGAGAGCTCCAAAGTCCTTCATAGGGTGAACCTTTATAGCCTGTAGCTTCCATTCTTGTTCATTTGAGAGCACTGGGGAGCCTATAAGAAATGTGATGAGAACAAGTTCATGAAAAGACAATGGAAAAAGAATAAATGACGAACATACCTATTCTCTTGGGAGTGTCTCATCTTGCTGGTACCAAAGCTCTATCAGCCTCTAAAGCCTATTCTCCTCTAACAAACATGAAGTGAGTCTTCCAACTATGGCAATCAAAGCGCAATCCAGTAATCAATTTACCTCTCCTCGATGTGAAGTAGTACCAAACACGGTTGGGAGCAGGAGTATCACATAAAGTATAAGTTGCACAAAACTCTTCAGGAGAGGCATCCTCATGGTGCACTTTTCTCCATAGTGTTAGGGAACCCCAATAAAACTCTCCAATCGTTGGGCGCCAACCACCCTAGCGCAAGCGAAAAACAATGTCGAATGCAACAAATAGAGGAATGCATTGGGAACCTTAGCCCAACCTTAAGTACCTCCTCATAGATAGCAATGTCTCCAGAGGAGTCATAACAAGTAGGCTCACCCATTTCGGCTAGACGACATAGTACCATTGGAAGAATATTATAAGTGGAAACGATCCACAGAATATTAGAGTCAGTATTAAGGGTGCTAGAAATGGTACTCAATTTTGATCTGTCGTCATCAAGAGCCATCTTTCCCCAGTGTTTGCCGTTACGGGGGTGTGAAACATTGCCCAGCCCACTACCATGGAGAGCCTTGAGGTATCTGACTCCATGGATTTCCACATGAACGAACCAAATCATCTGTTATTTGGCCAGAATCATCACCACCGGCATCCTCCACCGTACTCTACTTCCTAGCTCCATGCCCAATCGTCTACGTACCTGCCTGGTCATGCCTAGTAGTTGTCGACGCCTCCTTCGCGCCCATCGACCCTTGCCCAATACCTAGAGGTACGGATTCTGCAATGCTTACTCCCCGATCAGCCTCGCCTGATGGAGCTTCCATCTATTCACCAGCGTACAAAGCTCAGGGCTAGAAAAGCTGGCACTCGGCCTAATCTCAACAGTAAGGCATCTCCAATATTATTTCCAAAGTCACACCGTCGTCATCAGCAAAGACCATCCTCTAAAGAAAGTCCTAAGAAAGCTAGATGTTCTGGAAAACTCCTAAAGTGGGCGGTAGAGCTGGGCAAGTTCGATGTGCAGTACCAACTAAGGGTAGCCATCAAAGCACAAACCTTGACAGACTTCGTTGCCAAGCTCACACCAGTTAACGAAGACGTTAACGCAACCTCGGCACCTCATCGAAAGCCCAACCAGGCGCATGAGTGCCTAGACCTGGTGCCCTGTCTGGGCGCCCAGGGCATCCTGGCATGAACAGCAGGCGCCTTGACATCCCTTACGGCCTCCAAGGCCCCCTTTTTCCCACCTCACTGGGAGCTTTACGTGGATGACTTTTCAACCAACGAAGGAGGTGGAGCGGGATACTAATCAACACTAATGGCACTCCACTCAAGTATGCAATACAACTTCATTTTACAGCTTCCAACAATGAAGCAGAATATGAAGCCCTCCTCTCTTGCTTAAGGTTGCCAATTAAAATGGAAGGTCAACACCTCATCACTTACAGTGACTTTCAGTTAATAATTAATCAAGTAAAGGGCGAGTTTGAAGCAAAAGGAACTAAAATGTAGGAGTATCTTGCCATGGTGCAAACCTTGCTGACTAAGTTCCACCACTTCCAAATCCATCATATCACGAGGGAAGACAATATTGCTACAAATGCACTAGTCAAGCTCGCCTCATCCTAGGATTTCCCACCAGAACTAGCATTCATCAGTCACCAGCTTGAACCAAATAGGCTAGACATGAAAGTCACTAACGTCAACTGCACATCTGCCAAGTCAAACTAGATGACCCTAATTAAGGCATACCTTCAGAAAGACATGTTGCTACACGAACCGCTGGAAGCTAAGAAGCTCAGGATGAGAGTCTCCAAGTTCACCATCTTGGAGGACATCCTATACAAAAAGGGTGACTCCCTACCATTACCATGTTGCCTCTCCCCAGAGGAAGCAAACTACGCCTACAAGAGATCCATGAAGGATTTTGTGTAAAACACTCTGAAGGATGCTCCCTAGCCCACAAAGCACTCAAATAGGGTTATTTATAGCCTAGCATGGTTAAAGACGCACAAGAGTTCACCAGGAAATGCGACAAGTGCCAACGTTTTGCCACTGTACCCAGGCAACCACCAGAAGAGCTAACAACCATCACAAGTCCATGGCCCTTTTCCAAATGGCGCATTGACATCTTCGGCCCCTTGCCTCTGAGTAGGGGGCAGTGCAACTTCGTGGTGGTGGCTGTCATCGACTACTTCACGAAGTGGGCGAAGGCCAAGCCCTTAGCAAAGATTGCAGATGCAAAGGTCAAGGACTTTAATTGGAAAAACTTAGTCTGCCGCTTTGGAGTATCCCACGCCATAGTCAGTGACAACGCCAAGCAATTCGACAACAAACTGTTGAACTCGTTCTGCGCCGACCCTCAGATAATGCAGCCTCATTCTAGCCCAGCGCACCCGTAGGCAAATGGACAGGCAGAGGTCACAGTCAAAACAATACTACATAAATTAAAGACGAGGCTAGAAAGAGCAAAGGGCCTCTGGGTGGATGAACTCACGGGTGTATTATGGGTCTACCGAACGATGCCAAGGACCCTAACTATGGAAACTCCTTTTTTACTCGCCTTAGCAGTCATACCTGTAGAAATTGGAGAACATTCTCTAAGGGTCCAACATCATGGCCCCATCACGAACGAGGAAGTAATCCGCGTTAACCTCGACTTGGTGGAGGAGGAAAGGTAAATGACCATGGTCCGAAATGCAGAGTACAATCGCCGTATGACGAGATACTACAACTCAAGGCTGAAGTCTCATTCCTTCCTACAAGGAGACTTAGTCCTCAAAAAGTAATCCTCGCCACGAAGAATTCGCGAGAAGGGAAACTTGGACCAAACTGGGAAAGACCCAACCTAATAACAGAAATAATGAGGCCAAACACCTTCAAGATCCAGAATACTAAGGGAAAGGTCTTACCCCATCCATGAAATGCTGAACATCTAAAGAGTTACTACCAATGACACTTGAGAGGGCAGAAGCTGGGGTCTTGGTTTTATTTTTTTTCTTGTACCTTTTTGGGTTATTACCCACCATTGCTTAACATGAGCAGTTATCAAATAAAATTTTCTAAATTTAGTTCAAAATTTCCTTGCATATTTGCATTCTATTTCAAGTGAATATCAACGGTAAAAAGTCACTTTTACAAAAGGAGGCTACACACTGTCTTTCCAAAAAAAATAAAAAATCAGTCGTCGTCATCCTCGTCGTCCTCACCCTTTCCGCCGTCAGAGTCATCATTAGCATCATTAGGCGCCTCATACAACACAAAGCCTAAAAGGTCAATATCAGGAAAAGTAGCAAAAATCTTTTCCCGAAGCTCCTCTTAGCCATTAATGAAGGCATCTGTAAGGCCACTCTCTAAATCTGCCTCAGCCCAAGAAACCCTATCGCGAGCTGCCTTCAACTCTATCTCTGCTATCAAACGAGTAGCCTCACCATCAATCTCGAGCTTAGCGGCCCTCTCACGGGTTGCCAAAAGCTCTGCCTCAAGCTTAGCGGCCCTCTTGCCGGTCACCACAAGCTCCGCTTAGGCCCTCATGCAAGCAGCCTCTTTGAACGGGGCCCTCTTGCGGGTTAGTACAAGCTCAACCTGGGAAGCCCTACCATCAGCCTTAAGCTTAGCAATCCTCCCTTGAGAAGCAGAATCTCCTTTTTCACAGTCTCATGACTCTGTTTCAGCTGGCTAAAATGAATAGCTCTTGAAAAGAGACACACAAACACAACTAAAACCTGAAGAAGACAAAAGAATGTTAGTACCTAAGGAAGGACTAGAGCAAGGTAGAAAGTAGACCCTTACCTGAGCCAAACCTTTCAAAATAGTGTCTATGACACCCTTAGTGCCCCGAGCACCAACCTCACTAATGTCCTCTAGAAACACAAACCTCCCAAGTCACTCCCTAACGATTTGCACATCACCCAATATGTAGTCAGTCTGAGCATGTGCTCTTGTAGAATTCCCCATAGGAGGAGTCGATGAATGGGGGGTAGGAGGTGTGGCCGACAGGGGAGTCTCTGGAGTGACGATCCCCTCTGAAGAAGTCGTTGACTTGGGAGGCACCACTGGAGGGGTCGTCTGAGAGAAGCTTTCCTGAGTGTCGCTTACCCTTGCAACCTTTGGAGGATGAGTACTCCTAGTTGAATAAAGGGACTCCACCACCATCCTATCCACTGCAAGAGGAATAAAGTGTTATCCTGAAGTTAGACTAGGTAAAGAAAAAGAATCCAAGAGAATCATCAGACCTTTCCTTTTCAAGGAGGGAACACCAACCCTAGAACCTCCAATAGGAGAGTCTCTAGCTTCACCCTCTTTGAGCATGATAGCTCCAAAGTCCTTTATAGGGTGAGCCTTCACAACCTATAGCTTCCATTCTTGGTCCTTTGAGAGCATAAGAAATGTGATGAGAACAAGTTCATGAAAAGGCAATGGAAAAAGAATAAATAGCGGTCATACCAATTCTCTAGGGAGTGTCTCATCTTGTTAGTACCAAAGCTCTGTTAGCCTCTGAAACCTACTCTCCTCCAACAAACATGAAGCGAGCCTTCCAATTCTGGCAATTAGAGCGCAATCCAGTAATCAATTTACCTCTCCTCGAAGTGAAGTAGTACCAACCATGGTTGGTAGCAGAAGTATCACTTAAATTATAAGTTGCATAAAACTCTTTGGGAGAAGCATCCTCATGGTGCACTTTTCTCCACAGTGCCAGGGAACCCCACTAAAAATCTCCAACTGATATTTTGCGAATCGTTTTCACTTATAATATTCTCCCAACGGTACTGTGTCGTCTAGCCGAAATGGGTGAGCCTGCTTGTTCTGACTCCTCTAGAGACGTTGCTATCTATAAGGAGGTACTCACTTTTGATCCGTCATCATCAAGAGCCACCTTTCCCCGGTGTTTGCCATTATATGGGTGTGAAACATTGCCTAGCCCACTACCAAGAGAGCCTTGAGGTTTCTGACTCCATGGAGTTCCACATGAACAAACCAAATCATCTGTTATTTGGCCAGAATCATCACCCCCAGCATCCTTCACCGTACTCTGCTTCCTAGCTCCATGCCCAACCGTCTGTGTGCCTGCCTGGTCATGCCCAATAACTGTCGATGCTTCATTCGCACCCATTGACCCTTGCCCAGTACAAAGCCCATGGCACCTCAGTCTCAGTGCTTACTCCCCGATCAGACTCGCCTGATGGAGCTTCCACCTGTTCACTAGCGTACAAAGCCCATGGCACTTCAGTCTCAGTGCCAACCCATTACGCCTCAACCCCATGGATCTGTGCCACAATCTCAAAGCCTCCTCCATAATCAACATAACCTTTGGTCTGCAACGCTAGAGGCTTCTCACCTTCAATCCCCATAGCATGCTTGCTTGATCGCACCAAGCACCCAGCGACATTACCCAGATCTCCATGCTCAATTCGCCTCAATGCCAACTTATGGAAAGCTTGCCCACAAGTCAGCGCCTCCTAGGTCCCCATGCTAGACGGCGCCCATGGTACCTCGATCTCGGCAACTTGGGTTGCCACGCCTGCTAATGTATGACACTTTGTCCCTTTGCTCCCCGTCTTCACCTCTCCTCTCCTCTCCTCTGTAGCCTCGATGCCTCCCTCCTTGCCTCGACAGTGTTCGCTTGAGATCTCGCCTCGAACTCGACCACTCCAAGCTCCTCACCAAGATCAACAAACCCTTGCACATCTTCTCCTTCAATCGACATTTCCCTCTAAACACTCATCTCAGAAACAAGATCTCTAATCCCACTCATCCAACTTGGTTCTCAAGTATCTCAAAAAGGAATCCCCTCTTAAAGTGAATGAAATGAGGAGAGAAGGAAGAAATCCCCAATTTATGTCCTAGGACTTTTTGAGATTCTAATAGGAAATAAAATGGGGAGAGTTTATATAGCTGGAGATGTCCTATAGAGCTAAAATATATCAGGAAGAAAGGGAAAACCTTAGTATGTGATTTAGAAAATCGTTTAGGTTTCGAAGGCGTACCCCCCGAGCCCCTGCCACCTGACCAGGCAGGTGAAACACCGAAATTCAATCAAAGTGCAACATGGACGTAGCCAGATTTGTCTCAGATTGCTGGAGAAACCTTGTTGGGTTGAAACTGGTTGCCTTGACTTTGACTTTGATTCTGTAGTCAAGAGGAGTCTTCGTCAGCCAGGATCCAGGTTCAACTAAATGCCCTCTTCTCTAAGTTTCATTGGACACAGGGCATTGGGGGACAAATGACGGGTCAGGCCAAAAGGCCCAACTCATGTTACAAGCTCAGTCTGAATAAAGAAGATCCAATGAGTCCAGCCCAAAAGAGGTTCACGCCCAGTCAAGCTCATCCGAGTTCGAGGAGCTACATCACCAAGGGAGTAGGCAAGGTCATCCCAAGAGCCTCATCCACGCCACCTTGAAAAAAGTCAACCACCATGTCATCTTTGACCTGATCTTAAGGGGAGCTCCGTAACTGCCTAATTCATTGAGAAGATAGCGTCAGCTCCACCAGATTAGTCACTTAGTTACTGAAAAGGCTCCCTAGTCTGTTAAGAGGCACTATAAATTATAAGTCCCGCCAATACTTGGGGGGCATCGAGCACATTTGCTATCACTCTCGTCTCTCTCTCATAGCTTGTGTCTCCATTATCCTCCATTGCCTACCTTCACTCCTCGAAGTAATAAAACACTAGACCATCCTAGCCCTTCATAGTGGAGTAGGTCACGTTGACCAAATCACTCTACATCTTTGCCTCGCTTGTGTTACTTTCTCTCTCTACTTAATTACTACATTAATTACTAAACACTTGATCGGTGGTGCATAAGACCGATTTGTGCATCATCGTATTCAATAGTAAGGATGTAATACTAGATAGATGTGAGGTTGTGGTGGTGGTGGTGTGGAGAGTGGTGTGCTTGGATAGAGGATTTCCTTTCTCCTTCATTGAGATAAGGTTTTGTAATTGATAGCATCAAAAAGCAAACTACAACAAAGAGAGGGTATTTTAATTTTAATAGATTTTTGTGTCTTTAGAAATAGAAGAGGTTTAGTAAAGGGAAATCTTCACTTTCCTTCCCTGTGGTATATCTTAAATGTACATTGCCTTCCTATGATTTATAAATGTCCACATAACCCTCACGTGATTTGTGGACTAAAGTGCAAATTTAACAATTTTGTCTAAATTAATTGAAATTGTGTCTCACATGATTATTTTGCAACTTGGACTACACTACTAATTTTTTGATGACAAAAATTCCTTTGTATTGTTTGTAAAATTACAAAATACTTCTATCATGTTCATCGTCTTCATCCTTTTGAATATGTATTCTCTCTCTATCTCTCTATGTCTNTTCATTGAGATAAGGTTTTGTAATTGATAGCATCAAAAAGCAAACTACAACAAAGACAGGGTATTTTAATTTTAATAGATTTTTGTGTCTTTAGAAATAGAAGAGGTTTAGTAAAGGGAAATCTTCACTTTCCTTCCCTGTGGTATATCTTAAATGTACATTGCCTTCCTATGATTTATAAATGTCCACATAACCCTCACGTGATTTGCGGACTAAAGTGCAAATTTAACAATTTTGTCTAAATTAATTGAAATTGTGTCTCACATGATTATTTTGCAACTTGGACTACACAACTAATTTTTTGATGACAAAAATTCCTTTGTATTGTTTGTAAAATTACAAAATACTTCTATCCTGTTCATCGTCTTCATCCTTTTGAATATGTATTCTCTCTCTATCTCTCTATGTCTCTCTCTCACACACAAACATACACACAAATAAACCCATACACACATGTTGTGTGGTCGATGAAGACTTTGTTGCCGAAGGCAATGGCTTTGATTTGGCTTAAGTGGTGGTAAACAGTGATATTTTCGTTCAAACCACACATTGGCAAAGGACTAACATTTGGCTACAAAGAAAAGGAGTTTGTTGGGAGGTCGACAGTGTCTTTGAGTCCAAACCCGGATAGGGCTCTATTATACTGATTGTTACTATATTGATCGTTTGAGTGCTTGGCTGTGTTCATGGCAGTTGGTGAATTTTCAGTTTGCTTATCAATGATATTAAGAGCAATAGAAAAGAAATCAAATTGCTTGTGTGATGTTTCAAGAGCAATTTTTTCGATTCTAAGAAGACCATGTAGTTCTTCCAGTGACAATGGTTGAGACCGAATGCAAATTGATGTGTGAAAAGCACTAAAATCAGCAAATTAGAGGATGAAAAGTTAAACAAGGGTCTTTTGCCTGCAAATTACAGGATGGAAATGAGGAGGAGGAAAAGGAAGAGAGGAATGGTAAGGCATTCCATGCTCTGTTTTAGGGAAAGTAGAGAGAGAGAGAGAGAGAGGAGGCTTTGTTCTAATTATGGGTTGCAATGAAGTANAGGAAAAGGAAGAGAGGAATGGTAAGGCATTCCATGCTCTGTTTTAGGGAAAGTAGAGAGAGAGAGAGAGAGAGGAGGCTTTGTTCTAATTATGGGTTGCAATGAAGTACTTACGAGAGACTGGGCAAGTGGACAGATTGGGTGGGTTGTTGTCTGCTGTGGTATTGGGTGTTTGCCAGAGAAGGAGAACGGATATGAGAAGTGTACCGAAGAAAAAGAATAGGTCCGGAAGGGAAGAAAGAAGGGGTATTGGTTGTTAGGAGTGCACTTTAATCCACAAACCACGTGAGGGTTATGTGGACATTNAGAGAGAGAGAGGAGGCTTTGTTCTAATTATGGGTTACAATGAAGTACTTACGAGAGACTGGGCAAGTGGACAGATTGGGTGGGTTGTTGTCTGCTGTGGTATTGGGTGTTTGCCAGAGAAGGAGAACGGATATGAGAAGTGTACCGAAGAAAAAGAATAGGTCCGGAAGGGAAGAAAGAAGGGGTATTGGTTGTTAGGAGTGCACTTTAATCCACAAACCACGTGAGGGTTATGTGGACATTTCTAAATCATGGGGAGGCTATGTGCATTTGGGATATACCACAATGAGGTAAATATAAGTTTGCTCTTAATTAAGTTTAACAAAGATACATTATACACCGTGTGATAGCATAAAGGTTATTAAAGAGCATGCATCTAGGTTCAAAACCACATGGCATTGTTAAACAAATCAAACTAAAAAAGAAAATAAACTTTTGATGAGGTCGAGTTTGGTGTGTAAAATGAAATGATTCATCATCTATGCAGTTTGAAAGCCTGATAAGCTGACACGTGAATATTATTAGAAAAATCTATATCAAATACTTGCTACAGGCCAAGTCAACAGAGGGGACTGGCTAAACATGGTTTAGNACGTGAATATTATTAGAAAAATCTATATTAAATACTTGCCACAGGCCAAGTCAACAGAGGGGACTGGCTAAACATGGTTTAGTGTGAGGTAATGTTGTTGGGACCTAAATAAGTGACCTGATGATGTGGCAACTAAAGTGTCCTTATCAATCAGCAAATTAAGCCACCTAATTTCTTTTAAAAAAAACTTAAAAAATCAGCAACTTATAAAATTCAGAAGCCCTTTTTTCACATTCTCTCTTCCCGAACCCAGTACACCTTCTTCCCCAAAGCCCTAAAATTTCTCCTCCTCTTGAACTTCGACATAGTACCCCAATCACCTACCTGTGACACAATCTGCAATTGACGTCAGCTGCATGAACAATGAACTTCCATCTATAGAAAAACTCACTTGAATTTCACACCAGCCACAAGNTTCTCCTCCTCTTGAACTTCGACATAGTACCCCAATCACCTACCTGTGACACAATCTACAATTGATGTCAGCTGCATGAACAATGAACTTCCATCTATAGAAAAACTCACTTGAATTTCACACCAGCCACAAGCAGTAAACCAATCCATTCTTCATCTTCCATAATATTCATTGTCTGAGATCAAGGTCGGCCACACCGATGGAGTCATTCTTCCTCCTTATCTTCATCTTCGTCAGTGTTCTTCCCTTCTTTTCCTTTCTCTCTCCTCACAAGCCAAGTCGTTCTCTTCGCCAGAGTGCCAACCCATTGTCCAGCACAATATCAACAGCCATATGAATTACGGATAATTTTTTTTTTTTGGAACTGATTTGTTGATGAAAATGGGGGCCATGGTTTGTGTGCTTGAAATTGGGTATTTTGGGAG